AGAGCTTCCAGACTAAAACAGACTAGGAAGAAAGGTCTGGAGATCTACTGAAAATCAGCCAGTGAAAACCTTGTGGATCGTAGCAGTCTGACCTACAACCAACCATAGAGACGGCACAGAAGCAGGCAGCGTTTCATTCTGTTGTACATGGGTCACCATGAGTCAGCATCTAACAACAGTGACAGCTTTTGAAAGTGTATAAATGTTGTCTTCCTCATCACCCTTTCAACCGTTTATTTCTGTCTATCTGGCTTCCTGGTCTTGTGTTTTATCCATTGGGTTATAATCTATTACTGTCATTATTTATCTTGATGTTCACATTATCTCTGAGTTGGCCCATGGAAGCCCCTTTAAGCTGGCTTCTTGTCCTTTTGATATGTCCTCATCATAATATTGAACACTTTCTTGTGTTCTGATTCAGGAAGACACAGGCTTATCTTGTATATTTCCTACCCCAGCCTTGGAATTAACCATATCTCCAAGGAGTTGTGATTCCCTTCAGTAAAGAATAATATTTAGAAACCAAAGTTTGGGTGCTAGTTGCACTCGTCACTAATGGGCTGTCACTACTCTGGGGCTCTGTCAATGTAAACAGCTAGGAAATATGTATATATGTGTATACATATACACACACATGGGTATATGTATGTATGCACACACATCTATATTGCTGTAATTATCTGTATATTGAAAACAATGCATTTACACTAATACCTCCAACTCTACTCTCACACCACAGAGTTTATCCTCGTTTTCTCCCTTTTTATAGAGATCTTCCCCAACAGTACAACATTTGGCTCAGTTATCCTCAGTATATTTACTTATTTGATCAGTCCCCTTGCATATAACCAATCTTCCATATCTCCATACCACAGAGAACTCCTTCTCACCCTTATTGGGATCTGGCACTCTGCCCCAGACTTCTCACAAAGCTCATAGTATTTACATGATAGTTAAAATATTTTTAAAACTGTGAGGTCCAATTTCTCCCTGTGAGCCCCCGACATTGACCCTTATATTAACTGGACCAGAAAGCTGAGTTGTTAGGTTCTGGGGTGTCTTGAGCCTACAAACAACTACCAATTCCATTTTCAGCTGGAAGGGACTTGAATACCCCCTTATTTTTCATTCAGGGAAACTGAGGCCTGTCAAGGGATAGGAATTTCCTACAGATGTAGGACTGAGTTGGGCAAAGCCAGCACCAGACTCCCTTTGCCTGCAGACACCCCTGCCTGCCTGCTGCTGGCTTTTCTAGTCTCCTTAGAAAAGCCCATGTGTCTCCCTGCTGGCCCAGAGTGGCCTTTAAGATACAAGGTTCCCCATGTCCTTCTCCAGATCTGCAAAACTTCTCAGCTCAGGTCATGAACCAGTAGCCCCAGGACCACATCTGACCCGTACCCTCATCTTGTTTATCATGCAGAGTGTTAGCCCAAACTTGAGAATTGGGAACTTTCATGTAAAATTCCAAAATTTTAGCTTCTCTTCAAAAACCAAGAGATCCAGCCACCCTGGGCCCATCCCTTCACCTGACAGTAATCAGCTAGAGCTCAGTGGTAGCTGCCCTCCTTTTCATCTTCTCCTTGTTCTCTACACCCTCAAGTTTGCTGACCTCTGACTGCTATTCACAATAGGTTGCTTGGCTGACACCCATTGGACTTGGCTTGGGAATCCTTAACTATGGGCTGCACTTGGAGCTGGGCATTTGGGGCCCTCTCCTTTGGCCCCTCTTCACTTCTCCAGCCTCTTCTCCCTCCACTACTCTCCCCTACGCATGTGGAAATTCATGCAGTGACTGAGCCTCCCAGGCTCAGTCCTACCTCTTATCTTAGGCTTTGCTTTTGCTCTTGCTTCCTGGCTACTCTTGCCCTCTACTTATCTGTCTTCAGAAATCTGACTCCTCTGTCCCCTGCTTGGTCTCAACATTAACTGCTGAAGGAAGGTTCATGGACCACCCCAGGCCAAGTTAGATGCCTCTTGCTGGGTCCCCCGGTGCCTCCAACTAACCTCATGTTGGAGCATCACTACATGCTCATTCCCATTTAGTTGTTTGTTTCTGCTACTAGACTCCAGGCTCCATGGGGCCAGGGACTAATTTTTTATCTCCATGTCCCCAGTGCCTAAAACAGGGATTAGCATATAGTTGTTGTTGTGAGTTGCCATCAAGTTAGCTCCAGCTCATGGCTACCCCCTGTACAACAGAACAAAGCGTTGACCAATCCTGGGCCGTCTTCATGATCATTGGTGTGTTTGGGTCTGTTGTTGAGGCCATTGTGTACTTTGAGTGTCTAGGGCCTCATTTTCCAGCACTCTGTGGGACAATGTTCTGCTGTGATCCATAGGGTTTTCGTTAGCTGATTTTAAGAAGTAGATCACCACATCTTTCTTCCTAGTCTATCTTAGTCCAAAAGCTCCAATGAAACCTGTCTACAATGGGTGACCTTGCTGGTATTTGAAATAGTGGTGGCATAGCTTCCAGCATCACAGCAATGTGCAAACCACCACAGTATGACGAACTAAGAGATGAGTAGTGGGTGTATAGTAGGTACTCCATAAGTGTTGGTTAAAGGAGCATTATTTAGTATAACAACAAATGCTTATGTAGCATCTCATGAGTAGTAGGCACAATTTTAAGGAGCTCTGGTAGTGTAGTGGATAAGGCATTTGACTGCTAACCAGAAGGTTCACAGTTCAAACTCACCAGCTGCTCTGCAGAAGGAAGATGGGGCAATCTATTCCCGTAAAGATTTACCACCTCGGAAACCCAATGGGGATCACTTTGAGTCAGAATCAACTTGATGGTGGTGAGTTTGTTTTTTGGATTTCATGCACAGTTTTAAGTGCTTTACATTGTTTAACCCTCACCACTGTGCTGTGAGAGAGTTCCTGTTGTTGCTCCCACTTTACAGATAAAGAAACTGAGGCACAGAAAGGTTAAGTAAGTGACATGTCCAGAGTCACACAGTGGTGGGATCAGATTTGAACCCAGGCACTCTGACTCCAGAGTTCATATTCTTACCTCTAATGTGCCTCTCAAAATTAAAGGATTCAACATTTTCACAATAAGGGAGTGAGTAGGTGTGGATAGTTGAGATGTGTGGACCCTTCACCACCATGACCACACTCCTACCCCCATTTCTAGTGCTATTAGAAGCCTAAGCACAGGGAGCTGGTCACTGGGAGCAGCCAGAAAAGAAAGTGGTACCTTTTAACTTGACACCCCACAAGATTTTTTTTTCTCCCCTGAAGTCTTAGGAAACTGAGCTCACATGTAATTAAAGTGCTCACATGGGAGTTGAATAGCAGATCTGGCACAAGATTTCCAAGTCATTGCACTGGGTTTAGCAGGGCACACAGTTTCCCTATCACCAGGGAGGAACCGAGTGTATGTAGCCTGTCAGCCCTGAGAGTGGGGTTGGAGCTGCAACCTCTTCAGCAAATACAGTAGACCAAGAGCCTGGGAACACACGTACGAGTTGGTGCTCTGTTTCGAAAACTCTGTTGCAGGAGAATCGTCTATTCAGGCTCAAGGGCAGGGATGGAAGCCAGTGTGCAAGAGGAGTGTGTGTTCTTTGTGTCAAGTCCTTTACAGACATTTATTTCACTTCTCTCAGTGGGGACAGTGGGGTTCAATGGTAGAATTCTCACCTTGCATGTGGGAGACCTGGTTCAATTCCCAGCCCATGTACCTCATACGCAGTCACCACCAGTCTGTCACTGGAGGCTTGCATGTTGCTATGATGCTGAACAGGTTTCAGCAGAGCTTCTAGACTGAGATGGACTAGGAAGAGAGATCTCAAGATTTGCTTCCAAAAATCAGCTAGTGAAAATGCTGTGGAACACCACAGTCCCATCTTATTGTACATGGGATCACTGTGAGTCAGGCCAACTTGACAGCAGCTAACAACTTCTTGCAGTAGGCTTAAAGGGTCTAGTAGTAGTTGTGATTAGGTGCCAGTGAGTCATTTTTTTGACTTACAGTGACCCTGGGCCCATCCCTCCACCTGACAGTAATCAGGTGACAAAATAGAACTGCCCCATAGGGTTTCCCTAGGCTTTGATCTTTACAGGAGCAGATCACCAGCTGTTTCTCCTGTGGAACTGGGTGGGTTGACTCTGCCAGTGTTTCGATTAGCGGCCAAGCACTTAACCATTGTACTACCTGTGTTCCTTCTCGTAGTAATAGCAGCTCCGTCATTATAGGTGAGGAAACTGAGACTTAGAGAGATGAAGTTGTCTGCCTAAAGTCACACAGCAAGGAGGAATAGGGTAAGCTGAGATTTGAACCCAAGGCAGGCTGATTCTACACCCCAAATTGAACAACTGGTGGTAAAGCAAGACCAGAATTAAACCTATGTCAGTCTAATTCCAAACCCCAAATTATTCTGTGGCACTCCACAACCCCCACTGGCTCTGTTTTGGGGAGTGGGGTAGACAACACACATTACTTGGGGGCCAGAGCTGTCAGGAACTGATTTGGAGACTGTGGGCTTCAGGCAGGATTTTATGCTAACTTCATGCCTTAGAGATTCTAGAGTTAAGAAAAATCAACCAGAAATCAGCAAGAGTGGGAAAGGGGAGGGGGAGGAGACAGAGGGAAGGGGTGGAGGCAGGGGAATAGGGTGGAGGCAGGAAAGGGAAAATGGGGGTGGAGAGTGACGCCAGAAAGAATGCAATGCAGTTATATAACTCCAAAAAGCTGGTGTGTGCCCTGTTTAGCATCAGAGTGACATGAAGCTTATGTTTTCATTCTGCAAGCACTTATTGAGCACCAAGAGTGTGCTAGGCCTGTGCTGGCAAAAAAAAAAAAAAAAACCAAAAGGCCCCTGCCCTCATGGTAGTTACGTTCTGATGGGACATCAGCAAAGGAGTGCAAACAAATGAGTAGATGAGGTTGTTTGGGGGAGGAGTAATAAGTGAGATGAAGAACATGGGATAAGGCAGTGTGATTGGAGGATAGTGGATGGGGCGGTCCTTATATCAGAGAGGGCTTTCTGTAAGGCATGGTGGAGGAGGTGGCCTGGAGGAATGGGAGGAGCTGGTTAGGTGTGGAAAAGTGACCCACACAGCACACCAGCCAACAATGTATACCCCTCCGCCTTGAACCCACACTTGGTGCCCACCTCACCTTTGTTCCTTTTCTTCCTGCAGGTTTGACATCTACAGGAAAGTGCCCAAGGACCTTACCCAGCCAACGTACACGGGTGCCATTAGTGAGTAGTTGCCCTTCTCACTGCTGCTTGCAGGCCTTCCCACACTCCTTGCTCACTGTGCCTACTCCCTCTAGGTGGAACTTCCAGGCCAGACAGAAGGGCAAAGGGGAGAAATGATGAGCAGTCACAGTTTCCTGTGCATCTTTCCAGGCTCTTCATATGTTTTCTCATTTCATCTCTATCCTCACCGTAACTTGCAAGGTGCAACCTTGCTAGACTGTTTCTAGAAGGATACATAAGAAATGGTCAGTCATCTTTTTGGCTCTTTAAATTTTGTTAGACAACCTTGAAGATAGTGTGGAACATACAGACTGATCATAATTTATTCATTTAGCCGACTTCACTTTTTCCCATAGGAAAATGTGGGTCTAGAGTCTTCCAACTTTATGCTTGTTGTAAAAGAAATGGAATGTTTTAACTTGTAAGTCTCTTCTCTTTTTGGGAAGCTTTGTATTTGAAGCTTAATAAAACTTAATATGCAAAAAGAAAGAAAGCAATGGTCAATTGTAACTGGGAATGCAGACTGGGACTCAGGAGCGAGAGAAATGTTGATTTCCTAACCCCTGCTACCTGTGAATGTGACCCTTGTTTGGAAAATAGGGTCTTTGAAGATGTTACCAGTTACTAGTTATGAGGTCATATGGAGTAGGGTGGGTCCTAATGCCATAGGACTGGCGACTTTATAAAAGAGGAGGAGGACACAGGGAGAAGATGGCCATGTGAAGACAGAGACAGAGGGGAGTGATAACAGCCATAAGCCAAGGAGTGCCAAGGATGGCCAGGGATCATCAGAAGCTGAAAGAGGCAAGGGAAGACCTTCCTCTAAAGCCTTCAGAAAACGTTGGGCCCAGCCAATGCATTGATTTCAGACTTCTAGCCTCCAGGAGTGTGAGACAGTACATTCTTATTGTTTTAAGCCACCTGCTTTGTAGTGCTTTGTTAAGGCAGCCCTAGGAGATGAATACAGAAGGAGATTTACTTTTTCCTCTTCAAAACTTTTGAACTCTTGGAATCTTTTCACATAAACATGTTTTCATCCATTAAAAAAATAATCATCTCACTCAGATATGGGTTCTAAATACCATTGTCCAAGAACAGGAGCCAGAGCACCTTAGAGAAATGGCTCATTCGAGGCCTGGTGCGGGAACAAGACAAGATGAACCTGGAACACCTTGTGCCAAAAAGCAAGGAAGTGCTCCAAAAAAAAAGTACAGCTGCATGTCAGCAGAACATGGGAGCCGGCCTAAAGAGGTCCTAGTGGCCAAAACTGGAACAATTTGAATTACAAGATAAGTAATGACATTATTGCTTTGTAACCCAAAGAAAAGTCTGTGAGTACATATGCTGTAAACAAATGGAGGAGAAGGGACAAATCTTCCTTATAGAATAATTCCAAGTAATAGCTGTAGATACTTCCCCCTTAAGTCCTCTCTCCTTGAGTGTGAGCTGGATTTAATGACTCACTTTCAAAGGAAAAGGAAAAGAAAATTAGTAACTTAACTCAGGAGAAACCTGGAGACTGTGCCTTAGTGAGGAAAAGTCAGCATCACCGGTAATAAGTCATATGAGTGTCAGGGACCCCCTGATGTTATGATACAGACACCTCACCACTATAGTGTCTTCCCAGAAACCCAGAACCCAGTCTGCCCACAAGAAAACATCAGACAAACCCAGACTGGGGGGCTTCTTTTGGAAGACCTGACCAACTCTTCAGAGGTGGTACAGTCTCAAAAAACAAAGACTGAGGAGCTGTCACAGACCAGAGGAGACTAAGGAGACATGACAGGAAAATGCAAGTGGAATCCTAGATCAGATCCTGGACTAGAAAAAGGATATTAATGGGAAAATTGGTGAAATCCAAATAAAGTTCATAGCCCTCTCTCCAGCTCAGCTTGTTGAAGCTGAGCATGCCTTCTTGAGCCTGAGGTCTCCACATCCCTGGGGAAAGGAACAGTCCACCCAAGTGGCAGGAATCATTACCTACAGGCTTTCAGGTCAAGCAGACTGGGCTCATTCACCCATTTAGCAGCTGTGTGACCTTGGGCAAGTCAGTCCACTTCTCTGAGCTTTGGTCTCCTAACCTGGGGATTAAAAGAGATCATGCTTATCTAGTGCTAATCTTCTGTGCATGGACACTTGTCTTCTTACCATCTTCCTGGTGCTGGCATCCCATGAGGGTCTGGGAAGCTGTGCAGTTTTTGGCTTTAATCCCCAAAAAAGAATACTATAGGGAACATGAAAAGGAGAAGGGCTTGTCTACTTGGGTTTGAGTCTTAGCCGATGCACCCACTACCCATCCATCAGTGGAGGCTTGCGTGTTGCTGTGATGCTGAACAGGTGTACGCAGAGCTTCCAGACTAAGGTGGGATGAGAAGAAAGGCCTGGTGAACTTCTGAGAATCAGCCAGTGAAAACCCGACAGATCACAGTGGTCCTCCAATCATGTTGTACGTGGGTTGCCATGAGTTGGGGGCTGACTCAGTGTCAGCTAACAACATTTGTTTGACTAGTTTATTAACCTTGTCCAAAAAATTCAAATGAGGCTTCCTCCCAGCCTTCCTACCACTGACTAACTGGTCACTGTTTCTTCTCAGTCCCTACAGTCTCTCCCTTGTCAATTATGTTTGACAATGAGATATATACCCTTCTAAGAGAGCTTTTTGGGAGCTCTGGTGGCATAGTGCCTAAGGCATTTGGCTGCTAACTAGAAAGCTGGCAGTTCAAACCCACCAGCCACTCAGCAGAAGGAAGACTGGGCAATCTACTTCCATAGAGATACATCCTTGGAAACCCCAGGAGGGGTCACTACGAGTCCGAAACGACTAGAGGGCAGCGAGTTTGGTTTTGGTTTGAAGGATCTTTTTAAAAATTCAGACTTTTCTGTGCCTCCATCGTTGTTTTAAATATACAAAGGAGAATACTCTGCACACTGTTCTTCCCCTCCCTTTTCTCAGTTAATGTACCCTGAGCCCTTTTCCATACCAGCACATGAACATCACTACATCTATCTTAAATTTTATTTTATTGTAGTTACATATATGTGTGTGTGTGTATAATGTATAATAACAAAAAGTTAGCCATTCTAATCATTTTTAAGTATCTAATTCAGTGACTTTAATTACATTCACCATGTTGTACAACTGTCACCTCTATCCATTTACAAGAGTTTTCATCCCCCCAAACACCAGTCTCTACTCCTTCAGCAGTACCTCCAATTTCCTCCTTCTCTGCCCCTGGTAACTGCTCATTAACTTTTGTTTTCTAGATATTTAATATAAGTGGGATCATGAAATATTTGTCCTTTTGTGTCTGACGTATTTCACTCAGCATAGTGTTTTCAGGGTTCATCCGTGTCACAGCATGTTATCAGGACTTCCTTTCTTCTTATGGCTGAGTAATAGTCCATCATATGGATATACCCCATTTAGTTTATCCCACTGCACTCTTCTTAACTGTTGGGTCATATTCCAATATCTGGCTGACCCCCAGCTTATGTCACCAGCCCCCTAAGGGTACACGTTCCCAATTCCAGTTTTTTGCTATTACAGATATTCTTGTGCACTTATAGGGGTCCTTGGGTGGTGCAAGGACCCACCCCCTTGTGCACTTACAGGGGTCCTTTTGGCTGACCAAAAGGTTGAGGATTTGAGTCCACCCAGAGGTGCCTCAGAAGAAAGTCCTGGTGATCTACTTCTGAAAAGTCAGCCACTGAAAACCCTGTGGAGGACAGTCCTCTGACACACTCGAGGTCACCATGAATCAGAGTTGATGACAACTGGTTAGTCATCTAGTATTGAGCATATATATTTATGTATCCCTGTACAGTTATTTCTGTAAGGTAGCATTCCTAGAAGAGGAATTGTGTTTTAAAATTTAAAATGCACTTCCTAATGGCCCCCAAGAGACATTGTCCAATATGCAGCTCCAACTGAAGCATGTGGGGTACGTATTTCCTCACACACGACGAAAAGCATGGGACATAGGAAGCCAGCCTTGGCTACTATTTAGTGAATAAATATTTATTATCCAGGTACTGGGACTAGGCCCCATGCCAAGTGCTGGGACCATGTTGATGAATGACCTTCGGTCTTTGTTCTTGAGGCGCACAGGTGAGTGGGGCGGGGCAAACAGACTTATAAACACACCATTTTATTATGTTGGGTAAGTGCTATTAATAGCAGAAGAAAAGTGCAAGGGCATGGGGACTCACAGATCAGAGCTTGAATTTGGCTTTTCCACTTAAAGGCTGAGTGACCTTGGACAAATTCCTTGACCTCTAAGAGCTTTGGGTTCCAAGTCTGGGGCTCCTGATGTTTGCTACATGGGATTCCCCACTAGCAGGTATTGTCGGGGTCACATTCCTGCTGTCCAGTGCCTGAGTCAGTATCAGAAGAAGTCTGATCAGAGAACATTAGAATCTTGCCCAAATGTGGATGAAGGCCTTTCTGATTAAAATACTTTCTACTTACCTTCATGTTTTTCATTCATTGATTCATTCATTTAACAAATATTTATTTTGTACCTTCTCTGAATTAGGCCAAGTCTCTGGGCGATGCAAATGGTTAAGTGCTTACCTACTATCCAAAAGGTTGGAGATTCGAACCCAGAACATGATAGGCCTGGTGATCTGCTTCCGAAAGGTCACAGCCATGAAAACCCTATGGAGCACAGTTCTGCTCTGCACGCACCTTGGCTCAGTCACCTTGAGTCAGAATGGGCACAGTGGTGCTGAAACACTTTCACTGTCTTCCCAGTCTGAGGATGGAGAGAGAGAGAGAGAGGACAGACCCAGTTGAGTGTGACCAGTGCTTTTGGACACTTGTTGGCTGAGCTGAGCCTCCATTAATCGTTCCCACCTGCTGGTCTACCCAGGCTTCAAGCCAAGCCTTGTACAAAGCGCACAGATTTCAAAGGAGGCCTTCACATCCCCTCCCACCAGTCTCTATTCTGGACTGAGTTAGAACTTTGGGGTATGTGAGTTAGTGTGATGCAAGGAATGCA